CCCCCCCGCGCCCTCCCCCCGGCCGCTGGGGGGAGGGAGGAGCCCCCGCCGGGGCTCGCCGCCCTCCTCCCAGGGCTCCGGCCGCCCTCCCCCCCTGCGCCCTCCCCCCGGCCGCCGGGGGGAGAGCGGAGCCTCCGCCGGGGCTCGCCGCCCTCCCCCCGGGCCTCCGGCCGCCCTCTCCCCCCCTGGGGGGTGGGGGGGGCAGCCGGAGGCTTTTTTGCCTGTGGCAGCAAAAAAGCCAGAGCCGGCCCTGTCCAATGAAAGCTATTACCTCACCCACCTTGTCTCTCTAAATCTCACAGTGGTCCACCCAGTAGGAGTATGACAGAGAGCCATAGCGGGTGAAAGTGCGTTACACGGAGGCTTCGTTATCTAATGTCAAGCACCCACATTTGAACTTTGGCCCGTTCCCACGGGTGTGGAGGTCTTGTGGTAACACCACCTGTTTTCTGATCTGAGTTGGTCCATGGCAAAGATCAAAGTGCAGGGACCGCCTGGGGGTAGGGCTGACCCGGGGCTGGGCTCTGAGGGGGACCGCCGGGGGGCCGGCTCAGAGCGGGAGGGGCCCGGACGCAGCACAAGTCTGCGGGGAGCTCCAGGTGCGGAACGTCCTGCTGTGCCAGGCCAGCTCGGCGCCGGTCGGGCGGGGGCGATGCGGCGCGTGGCTGCCCCTCCTCTCCCTGGGGCCACCTGCACTTCCGGGCCACAACCAGCAGAGCACCGTCTGCAGCGGGGGAGGGGGGCCGCCAGCTGCCCGGAATAGCGGCCGCGCTCTCACGGCATCTGGTTGTCATGGGGACGCCTGGAGGCGGGTAAACACAGCGCCGCCTCCCCCCGCGACCGCCCTCCCTTGGACACAGGCTCTCGCGAGAGCAGGAGGCCCGCGGCCTGGCTCAGTCTCAGCCGCGGAGCACGGCGCGGTGGCAGGCAGCGGGGCGGGTGGAGCTGCTCGGCCTGGGGGTGAGCGGGGGGCCGGGGCGGGCGGGGAGACCGCGGGGAGCCTCCGTCCCACCGCGGGGCTCAAGCTGTTTCCTCGGAAGGCAGGTGCCCTGTAAGCCGGGGGAGGGGCCGCGCCTGTGAGCGCCGCTGTCACCAGCCCGGCTAAGGCAGCGAGCGGGGCTGGGCCTGGCGCCTGTCAGAGGCAGCGACCGGTGCCTGGTGTCCGGGCGGGAGACTGACCCACCCGCGATCGCCGCTGCTCCTTGATCGGGCGGGGCCCCTGGGCTCCGCGGCCACCCCAGCCCTAGGGTAGAGGCTGCGCCGGGGGGTCGCTGACGCTGGCGAGAGCTGAACCCTGCCGGCATCGGGCAGGTTCCCGGGAAGGCTGGGAGGCGACGGGCGCAGCAGAGAACGCGCTCGGCGCGTATGAGGTGTGGGAGAAAAGTGCCCTGCTGCCGGGGTGCCCGGGTCTGGGGAGAAACGTGGCCCTGTTCAGCGTGTGCCGAGAGCTACAGAACGAGGTCATGCAGGCTGGCAAACCCGGGGCAGTCGTTTGTTTTGGTCATCTCTTCCGTCATCCCCAGGAGTGCCTGTGGGCTAAACAGAAAGCAGGTTCTCCCGCTCTGAAAGCTTTTGTTTTCGGAGGAAAAGCTGGTATGTCCTTGGCATCGTCACGTTTCATTGCTTCAGGTATCACTCACCAGGTCTAGCTTTTATATCCCCGTGACCCTGGCTTCCTCTGGCCTTTCCTACTTCTTCAGAGTAGATCCCATTCTTCCTAGTCCAGTGTATGTTCCCTGGGGGAGGTTGCTTTGGCTTCCTCCCCCTGCAAGCTTTTCTTTCATCCTCCCATCAGCGACCCCCTTGGCGCAGCCTCAGTTGTTCCCATGGTCTCTTAATACTCTCATTTACTTCTCCATCTCTTCCTGTTTCATCTTCTCATGGATGTCCCACTACTTCCTCAAATTAAAATGGATAAGGTACTGAACGCATGAATTTTCTGCCTAAAACATTGTCCTTTATCACTTTTCACAAATCCACTGTCTGCCTCATCACTCAAGTGCCATCTTTTGCTTTTTTCCCTCATGTACTTTTGCAAAATTGTGGCCTTAGATTGTAAAAGTCTTTAGGGCAGAACATTCTGCAAGTTATAGGGCTATATAAATCATAGAATCATAGGACTGGAAGAGACCTCAAGAAGTCATCTGTGCCAGTGTCCTACACTCATTGCAGGACTATGTATTATTTCTAGACCATCCCTGACAGGTGTTTGTCTAACCTGCTCTTAAAAATCTCCAATGATGGAGATTCCACAACCTCTCTGGGCAATTTATTCCAGTGCTTAACCACACTGACAGGAAGTTTTTCCTAATGTCCAATATAAACTGCCATTGCTGCCGTTTAAGCCCCTTGCTTAAAGAGGCTAAGGAGAACAATTTTTCTCCCTTCTCCTTGTAACAACCTTTTATGTACTTGAAAACTGTTATCATGACCCCTCTGTTCTCTCTTCTCTAGAATAAACAATTTTTTCAATTTTCCCTCATAGGTCATGTTTTCTTGACCTTTAATCATTGTTGTTGCTCTTCTCTGGACTTTCTTCAATTTGTCCACATTTTTCCTAAATGTGGCCCCCAGAACTGAACACAATACTCCAGTTGAGGCCAAATCAGTGTGACGTAGAGCAGAAGAATTACTTCTTGTGTCTTGCTTACAACACTTCTGCTATTACACCCCAGAATATTTGGGTTTTTTTGCAAGTGTTACACTGTTGACTCATATTTAGTTTGTGATCCACTATGACCCCCAGATCCCTTTCTGCAATACTGTACTCCTTTCTAGGCAGTCATTTCCCATTTTGTCTGTGTGCAACTGATTGTTCCTTCCTAAGTGTAGTACTTTGTATTTGTCCTTATTGAAGTTCATCCTATTTACTTCAGACCATTTCTCCAGATCATTTTGAATTTTATTCCTATCCTCCAAAGCACTTACAATCCCTCCCAGCTTGGTGTCATCCACAAACTTTAAAAGTGTACCCTCTCTGCCATCATCTAAATCATCAATGAAGATATTGAACAGAATCAAACCCAGAACTGATCTCTGCGGGACCCCACTCAATATGCCCTCCAGATTGACTGTTTAATTATGTTTATTTTTAGAAAGCTAGGTGAAATTTGTACAAGAACTTTGATTGAAATCTCTTGAAGACAGGGACTCTCCTGTATGAGTGGAAAGCACCTAATCCATTTTGGGTACTACTATAATGCAAATAACTGCTTACATTAATATTCAATTATAACTCTTGTAGTTTTTTATGAAGGCGATAAAGTCTAAATCAAGAGTGGTGACAAACATTTTGGGCTGAAATATGACACTCTTGGTAGATTTAGAATACTTAATTTTAAATGCAAAAAAATTTGATATGGTCAACTTTATATTCTGAAACCAGGCATGGTACTTAGAACTGAAATGTTGCCTCTTTGCACATGGCCTTTTCACATTCAATATGACAGTATTTGTTATGAGAAACGTCCTTTGAATTTCACTTATGTACACAAACTCAGCTGTTACATTAGCAGTTTTTACACTTATTTGAATAGCTCCATGATTTCTTAAACTAACTATTTATATGTTTTGATAGAGCCACTAGCTTGTTTACTTATATATGTAATCAATCATAATTCTCAATATGCAGGGGTCCCCGTATATATTTCTATACACAAATCCAGATCTGTACCTCAGTATGCTACTAAAACTAGATGGAAAAACCAAATGACATGCCCAAAACTATTCTAATACAAACTAAGTTAAGCTTCTTCAAACACAAAGGCCTTAATTGAATACTTTTTCCAAACCATAAAATCACTACTGTAGCGTATCCTTTTTTGACAAAAGGTCTAATTCCACCCACCTACATGTTAAGTTTATTAATTTGAAATAAGATATTCACCCAGTACTGTAAGTTCACATCAGCAAGCTAATGTGTTTGCTGAGCAATTGCTACTTAAAACTGTTTACGCTTATCTAGTTAAGCAAATCAAGTATATTAAACCTCACATTAGCACATTTACATTTTTGATAATAGTTATTGGTCCCATATAAGATATCAAAGAATACACTTCACTTAAGTTAATTTTATAAGGACTTGGGTACTTTAAAGACAGGAATGTAAGCGATCTTTTCCAAGAGTGGACCACATTGAAACCTGAATTATTTCTTCTATATTTAACAGGGTATTTACAACACATGATGTTGGAAGAGTTCCTTTAATGTCAAACATAAGAGTTATGGCAGCACATTGGAAGAAAATGTTGGTGATCCTTCTAGCAGCTCAAACATTACTTATGGGTGATAGCTTTGAGGAAGAGGATGTACCTGATGAATGGATTCTTCTTCATGTAGTCCAAGGTCAGATTGGAGCTGGAAACTATAGCTACTTGAGACTAAATCATGAAGGGAAGATAGTACTTCAGATGCAGAGTTTAAAAGGCGATGCAGATTTGTATGTATCTGATATGACCCTTCACCCGAGTTTTGATGAATATGAGTTACAGTCTGTAACTTGTGGCCAAGATGTTGTTTATGTACCAGCCCACTTCCGCCGCCCAGTGGGAATAGGAATCTATGGTCATCCCTCTCACTTGGAGAGTGAGTTTGAAATGAAAGTATATTATGATAGAACAATTGTAGATTATCCATTTGGTGAGGCTTCCTACAACCCAGAAGAGATGGAGGCAAGCCAGAAGCGCACTCATTCACCAGAAGATCAATCTCAGGATGAGGAATCTATTTTTTGGACTATACTCATTGGAATTTTGAAACTAATACTTGAAATTCTTTTTTAAAATAATCAACTGGACATACACTGGACTAGAGTGCACTTATAGCCTATGACATTGAACATGAATGGCTTGCTGTGAGCATTGGTACTCTTTGTAAAGTTACCTGAAGAGGTATTCAGGTTACTTTTTCTATGCTGAAGAGGGGAAAAGCAAAGCCATATTTAATTTTGTATTGAAGCCCCCTTCCCACCTTCCAGAAGTAAAATGAGCAGAAAGCACAGTATTTGTATAGTTTTCTTCATAAATCAGGGTTAAAGTGAATGTACAATAAAGGGAATCTTATTAAAATGTATCACTTTGAACAGGTGCATAAGAAAATGGACCTTGATAATTCACTGTATTTTCTATTAAAGTGACAATTTTATACAAAGAAAAAGTTGTAAAATCTGAAAGGTGCAGTTTTAACAACCCCATCCAATTTAAAATAAAGAACTAATTTTCTAATCTCTTTGCAGCGTGAACAGCTCTTTAGCAAGTGGCACTTTAAAATGCTGGCAACCATTGGAATTGAAAGCAGTGTAACAAAGACCAGGAAATATCAAGGTCAAGATTTAAGGTGAACAGTGATTTTAGGTGCCTAGTTAGATCCAATTTAAAGGAGCTTGACTTTTCGAAGTGTAGGTGCTCAGTGCTTTCTCAATCTGCTCTCTAAGGTATCAAGTTGCGCATTTAAACTGAAGCACCCAAAATCACTTAATCACTTTTTAAAATCATGACCTGAATCAAGTTTGCCATCTTCTTTATTATCTCTGCAGGTAGAGGCTGATCTTTCTAGTCAGGGAAAGAATTATAATGAATTAGTTATTCAGCTATTTTTGTATCTGTAAATATATATAAGCAATATTGTCACTGCTCATTAAAAGCAACTCAGCCTGCATTATCATAAGCAGGAAAAGGTTTTTCTCCATATATGTACCCCTAATTAAGTGTAACCACAATTTTAGTGCCACTTCCATAGTATCATCTGTTCTTTATGGTTGTTGGTGCATCTTTATGAAAATTAGATGCATTTAACTCTTGGAGTGCAAGCTATTTTCAGTTATAGGGACTTAAAGTAGTTCATAATAAAGGAGACTGGATTTGAAACTTTTAGGTATTATTAAATTAAAGCAACACTGATTATTTAAAAGTAATTGAATGCTTTGCTTTGATTGAATCATGGGGAATAAAACTGAGTGCTATGCAAATACCTAAACTTTTGTGTAGCTTTCTCTCCATGTAGAAGTTATTGCTATGCAACATTGGCATATACAAGTGTGTTGCTATAAACTGCCTCTTTGAGAGGACTTTCTGAAAGTTTTCCCTCTTGAATGGAAATTTGAGTTGTCAATCTAAACTGCTATGACAGAATACATGCTCAATTACTGCCATCATAGGAAAACCCATAGTCAAAATTATAAAAATTTTATTTGGTAAAAGATGCTTAAGTGGTTTTGTTCCATATACAGAGTGGTTGGTTAAATAGCACCAAATTTATCACTTCAATTTGTGCAGTTAATCATATTGGAAGGTAAACATTATTCCTTTAGCCCTCTTTGCTGTTTTTCCCCCTTCTTCCTCCTCTTCTAGGTGTGGGGGCGTCTTTTTGACAACAGTCACAAATCCAGCGACCTAAGAAAGAAAAGTTGACATTAGTTAATATTTTTATTAACTTTAGAACCCATGACTAGTTTACAAGATGAGTAAATACTTTTATTTTTGCACTACCTGTGCCGGTAACATGCAAAATATAAACCAATGTCTGGAAGTTTATATTTCCTTTAAATTTGAAGACAATGTAAGTACATAGAGTAATAATACTGAGCAGAAACAGGTGGTGGTATATACATTCCCACATACTCACTGTATCTCAAACTGGCCTGTGATCACATGACTGGGCTTCACAACAATTAAGGTCCAATGCTACTGTAGGATGGTTTTGAGATAAGAATAAACACTACCCATACTTCACTTCTGACTCAAGCAAAATTGAGTGCATTAGATCAAAGCATTTTAATTTGTTGACTGACTACTTTAGAGGAATATCAACTGCTTCTACTTATGTTCTACCTTTAATATGGCTCAGTTAGTGTAGATCTTAGTGTAAATCAATCACAGAACTCGAATGGAAGAGAGTTCAGCAGCAATGGAACAACTGTCAACTCTACTGCAGCTCACAACATTTTCAAGACTTGAGTATCGGTGTTACAGCAATGCTAGCACTGCAGAACTTACTAGGTGCGTGCATCAATACAGTAGCTGTATTTTGCAACATGGATTTAGTCTTACACAATCGGACTGACTACTCCGGTCAATGATCTAGTTCTTTCATTCTGATTCTACACTGCCTTACACCTTGTGCAGTCATTTACAAGGGAGCAAAATAAGTGAAAAATGCTACTAAATCAGTATCTTTTATATTAATGTAAAATAGGGATAAATGACTGCACATAGTGCAAAGCACCAGCTTTGTTTTAGTTTCAAGTTTAAGCATGTTACTGGGTTTATTTAGTTGAACATGCAAGTTGTGATGTAAAAAAGGGATCAAGTGTATTTACACAGATGGAGTGGAGCACACACTTTTTTCTTCTACTTTAATAAAGCATTTGTACTGTTGTTAAAGCTTCTAAAACAATGCAAAGGTTATACTCTATCAATAGGGAGAAATGTAAAGTTTATACGTCCTTCATTTATGGACGGAGGTAGCTATTCAATATCTTGTGGGAATCCTGAAAAAGTGGGGTTCTGAGCCATAGCTCTACTTGAGTTTTGACAGGAACAGTTATAGTGTTGTAAAACGGTGAAGCTGCCAATCCTATACTCTGTACATTACTAAAATATACAGAAATTTAAAAAAAAACTCATTTCTGCTGTTTTGGATAATTCAATGAATGCCATCTTACACTGTAGATGCTACTTAATGTTTACAGTCAACTAATTCATACACTCCTATGGAAGTATTATCTTGTAACACAGTAGAAAATACCAGCCCTTAAAGACTAATTTCTGTTTCATTACCTGAAGGGATAGCACCAAGCCCCACACAAAAGGTATGATAACCTCGGTCACACACATCACAGAACATCATTTCTTCTTCATGGTGAGGCTGCCCACATATAATGCATGTTTTACACTCCATACACTGCCAAGGGTAGGTCTTAATCATAGCAACAAGCTCCATGGTCATATCAAGACAAGAAGGGTGGCCTAGATTAAAACCAATATTATTACTAGCACCTTTAGAAATGAAGTTGTAAAATAATTAGTATAACTTAATAGCTATTCTACAAAAATCAAGTTTAGCTCACCTAAGAGACTCAGTGCAGTGAATGTGTTCTAGTACATACTTAAGTACAATTAAGGAAATTTTAAAGAGAAAAAGTCAGTTTCTAGGAAGACTGAAATGTTTGTATGCAAATTTAGTATTATACAAAATATTCCCACTGAAAGTAGTAAGACGTGGCAATTAAAACTCCCAGCATTCCAGTTAAAGTGTATATAGATACTTACCACTGTTGTCACATTGGGAGCAGTGTATAAGTGCTTCAGTCTTTCCTTTCTTGTTGGACTCCTTACCCTTCAGACAAATTCCACATATAGCATTTGGAGTGACCTTTGGCTGGAAGGGTAGAAGAGGGCTATAAATTCATCCCAGAAGAATTTATAATGGATTTAACAGGAAATTTGTTAAGGTATCTCCATTTTAACTTTTGTAAATTACTAATGAACTTTTTGTTATCATGTGATTGAAGTGAATCTTAAGACATAAGGTGATATTGACATAACGTGACATTGACAAACACTGGTTATTTTAAAATCTTAGGAAAGATGCATACAAATTTGATATTTAGAGCATGTGCAGTGAGCTATATGTAAATAATTTTACAAAAAATGAAACCAGAACAAAAGTGTATGCTAGATCCTCCTGCAAGCTTGTCAGCTAGCATTTCCTTTAATAGTGAATACAAATAATATACACTATATTGTAACTTTAAAGCTAAATCAAATTTGTTCAAATATAGAAGGAATAGGAGAATATGTTTATATGAATCTCCAAATTCACAAGCTTCCATGTACACGAGAGAACACAAATATCCTTTAAGAAATGCAAAATTACTTAACTCATCTGAATGGAAGCTTAAAATGAATACCATAAAATAAGATACAATTTAATACACTTAATTTGTATTGTTTAAGCGTCCAAAATGTCTAATAGACAAGTTAGTTGTGTTGCTTTAATCAGTTTTACTGTTCCTTTCTTCTATATCCAAAATCATGATTGCTGTTGCTATAGAAAACACTACAATTCTACACTTACAACACTGCTAGGAGAAAGTGAACTGAGAAAGAAAGGAACTGAGTGTTCATAACATCTATTTAAGGCAAAGAAATCCCAGGTGCTTAAATTGGCTGTGCAGTTCCCAGTATTTGTGTAGTAATTTTATGACCAAACCCAAAAGATAAGCTAGCAGTAGCTTTGCTTAGAGGAAAAGAAAAAATATAATTAAGGTATCAAATTGTTTATCAAAGGGCCACTCAAATAGCTTTAATGTCAGACTTCAACCTACTGCATCTTAATGAAGGTTTGGATTCAAATACAACACTTACTGATGTTAAATCCACTATTGCCAGAGATTTTTAAAAATCTGTCTCAGATATTTTAGTTCTGTTGTACAGAAGCAGCCATCTAGTCAATGGAGAAATTTTGAATTAAAAGCCTACTCCCTAAGGAACCGTGTGATTGCTGATAAATAGTCACAATGGGACTTGCTCCATTTAAAACAAAAACAAAAACAAAAAAACTTGCCAAATGAAAGAATAAAAGTGGTAGAGTATTTTCAACCTAAGATGGTATTAATAAAAATGGCAGTGAACATAAAACTATTAAAAAGAAAAAAGTATTCAATACTGCCCCTTTTAAAACAAAATGTTATTTACCAGCCAGCTCTTTTCTAACATTTAGCAAGATAATTAATGTCTTCAGCAATTCTTAATCTGTCAGAATTCATTGCCCTGCTTTGAAAATGTTTGAAGTTACTAAACCCCCTTTTATGGCTATAGTCTGCTTAACTTGTCTGGCCTGAGGAGATTTAAATAAAACAAAACCCATCGGATGTTTATATATAACTTCCTTTTCAAAAGATGACAGAGGCATTCATAAAGACTTTTTTTGCTTATTTATTTTAAAAAAGCATAGTCAAACCTGTTTTATACATAAATATAGTAAAACTGTAAAAGAAGTCTAACATTCACAAATGTCTCTACAAAATAAATATCATGGAAGTGAAAGCATACATAGAAAATTCTTACTGGTAACTATTCTATGTCTCCTACATATATACCTTGTATACCCTGCTCCTCCCAACAAAAGGATAGTGGCACATACTTAAACCTCAGTCTTGCTGTGTTTATTTACCCTCTTGTTGCTTAGTGCTACATTCTAAGAGTAAGGTTTTTGTTGTGTT